ATAAAACTAACTACTCCAGACCTGGAGCACGTTTTCTTCTAGTTGTCCCAGAGAGCCTTCGCTCCGATATTCTACGTGCCATGCATGACGACGCGACGTCCAGTCATTTCGGCTTCATACGAACGCTGAACCGCACGCAGGAACGCTTTTACTGGCCCAAGATGTACGAAACGACGAAGCGTTACGTCGCTAGCTGCGAGACGTGCCAACGTCACAAGCGCCCGGCCACCGCTACACCAGGTCCCCGTCAGCCATTAACACCACCCAGCACACCTTTTGAACAAGTAGGAATGAACGTGATGGGTCCATTTCCGCTATCTAACAATAAGAAGCGTTGGATAATCGTCTGTGTAGATCATCTTACGCGGTATGCCGAAACCGCAGCTATTCCCTCTTCTACCGCTGCATCCGTGGCGGACTTCTCGCTTCACTCCATGGTCCTTCGCCATGGCCCACCGCGTGTTATTATCAGCGACCGTGGCCGCCAGTTCACTGCCGATGCCGTTGAAGAATTACTACGCATGTGCACGACACAGTTCTGTCATTCCACACATGGCCTCGTTGAACGGACAAACAGAACGCTGACCAACGTGCTTGCCATGTACGTTTCTTCGAATCGCAAGAACTGGGATGAAGTGCTGCCTTTTATCACGTACGCGTACAACACGGTAAAACATGAAACAACGAACTTCAGCCCATTTTATCTGTTGTACGCCAGGTTGCCACTAAGCCCTCTAGACACTTTCTTATCCTTTATTCTACACAATGACGACTCTGTATCAAACACCCTGTGCCTCGCCGAAGAAGCCCGTCGAATCGCTCGTCTTCGTACTCTGGCCTCTCAACGTCGTTCGAAGGAACGATACGACGACCGTCACGAACCGGTTTTATTCGAAAAAGGTGAATTGCTGTTACTTTGGACACCGCAACGCAAGCGTGGATTGGGCCAAAAGCTTCTGTCACGATATTCAGGCCCATTTGTAGTTTTGGAGCGTCTAAGCCAGCTCACTTACGTAATAGCTCGTCTTTTGTCCCATGGTCGACGATCGAGCAGAACGCAGCTCACTCACGTTGCTCGCCTGAAACCTTTCTACCCTCCTTGTGCATCATAAGTCGCCCTACGGGCTTCGTCTGCTTGCGGGGGAACGTAACAGACTAGAAAAAGGTGGAGAAGAGAAGCAGAGGAAGACGAAGAGTCTTGGCACGATCGCAGTGTGCTGCTGCAAACGACCATCGTTCACCTCCTGTAAATAAAACCATCTTATCACAGCTCGCTGTTACAATATTATTTATTACAGTAAAACGTAATTTCATTGGTGCCAAGTCTGGGCTGTTTGTTCATCATGCATCACAACCCGTGAGTGTTCTCCATTCCTCTCACTGGTAGAACCGAAATGGCTATTTATTCTGCACCCATGCAATAGCAACATTGATGTGTGAAGGGGTGTGCGAATAGTGAAATTTCATCTGGCATGGAGTTCGAATCGCATGGTGGTCCAAAGTATTGCCATACCCTTTTCCGAAGGAGCTGCCATGCCCATCCTGCTATGGTACATCAACGGGAGCACGAGACAAGCGGTCGGCATCGGAACACTTACGTCGTAGTGGGTGATAACAAAATTTGAAAAAAAGAGTTTGACAATATCGAATATGAAACAGTTTATTGAAAGTTGAAAGGAAGAACTGAGAGAACTGAAAGGAAGAACTGAGGCCTACTCGTATCGTCGAGGACGTAACGCAGTAAGTGAATTCTGTCGAAATTTTACTACAACAGTAATGTGCTACATCTTCATGAGTGTTCCTTGCCCCGAAATGTTCGGGCGCTCATTCGCAGCAGCGTTTTGATAGCGCCAGAAAGATGGGAGTCTGAACGACTGGTGAGGTCCGACAGTGGCGACTGCACGGCATGAAGAAATTTTCACGTGCGAAGTCAATTGCTGAATGTTCCGTGGGCCCAAGTGGGGACACATTACGACACTTTCGGGATACGCGACTGAACTACGCAAGTCCGCGCCTTTCGTTCAAAAACAAAGTTTTGTTTTCTTTTTATTTTTTAAATTTTAAGCGGGGAAATAACAATTGCATTTAAAATAAGCATGCATTCGCTTTTGAACCAGGATATTTGTCAAAAGTTTAAAGAAACGTCTACTGTAGGCATAAATTTAGTTACACAAGTTGCATAATGGACATTTTTTGTGTTTTAGACATTCGTTGCATTGAATTATTAAAAAAAATAGTAATAGCTATTCCAATGTCGAATTGAATTATTCGATTCGAATTAGAAATTCGGAATACTATAAAAATTTAAGAGTGCTTTCTACTTTTTTTGAGCTTTGTCTACTTTTTTTCCCTCCGTTACATAAACTAAATGGACACGTTAACTACTTTACAGAGTCGTGCCGGTCATGACTCTACAATAAAAGTATAATGACTCCCGAAAAAATGTTAACGTGTTTCTTTAAAAGGAGTTATGTATGTGGAAAGAAAATATTCGGCGAAAACAGTAAGGGGCATTTTTTTTTTTTTTTAGGAATGACAGGGAATCCATTGCCAACACCACCTAGAATTCCAGGTGGTGTTGCCACAGCGCGATTACTCGGGACAAATATTCAGCCCCGATATCAAAAAGAAATTACAACTTAGCCGAAGACATGGATACACATCGTAGGCGTGTGCACAGGGGAAGGGGGCAGGTCAGCTGTGGTTGAAAGGGAAGGGGCAAAGCCAGCCCCATGTGTTAACATTATAAGGACGGGGGGCGCAAAGTCAGCCCAATAGATTGACATGCATGATAGGGGGGGGGGGGGCACTGTGACGAACCCTCGCCCACCCGTCCTTGGAGGGGAACCCTGGGCACTTATGATGCACATGAAATAGACAAGCACTCGTTTGAGTTTTATGCGTTTTATGCTGACGTACACGATTCATCCCTGCTGCTGAATGGAATTCTTTCTCCTTTATTTTGGGCACAAGACAAACGGGAACATATTTACATGCATATAAAAACTCATTCACAGACAAAACTTTTGTTTTTATTTGCACACAATGTAGACGCTTGCACTTTCTCATTCCCGGACTATATATACAAAAGTTCAGACAAAAAACACTAGTTAACGGACAGTTGACACAGTAAATGCATGCGAATGCTGGCAAAAACGACGTGAGGGGGTACAGTATCATTGTTTGGCACACTTTGTTGTACTAATGCTGCACTCATGCAGGACTTCCGACGAAGTAATCTAGGGGATCCGCATTTTACAGAAACACCTAAGTTTTCTATACACTGACTGTACAAACGAGTCCTGTAAACACGTGCAAATCTGAATAAGGTGCACGTTTTGTTCAATGAAGGAAGAGAAAAAAAACCAAAAAGGTGGAAGTAAAGTTTCTAGATGCCGTGCTGGAGTTACTGGCATAAGAGCACCTCAACATGGCCGTATCAATATAACCACTCTAGCTGTATCCCAGTCAAAAATATTCAATGGGTCCAACTGGAAAATTTCCATTTAAAATCAATGGGTGTTGGACCAGTAGGATTTTCGCCACCCATTGAACATTATCCCGTTCGAATCAATGGGTAAACCCTTATATTCCAAAGGGGGATCCAAGTGGCTCACCACTTCAATGCAACTGGTTCAACAGGGGACCCCATTGGCTACCAGTTAAGTGTGGCTGGTGCTGAGCAATTGCCAGTTAGTTGCAATGGTGCGCACCATTTGAAATTGGTTGGTGACAAACTGGTAGCCCCTTTGGCCTCACATGGCCAGCCCATGAAAACGAAATGGTACGCTGGTGGTTGTCCAATTGGTGTGAATTGGCTAACCCGTTGAATCTAACTGGTGGTCAATTAAATATCCCGTTGATTTCAAATGGTCAACCCATTAAGACTAAATGGTACGCAGGTGGTTGTCCACCTGGTGTGAATTGGCTGACCTGTTGAAGCTAACTGGTGGTCAATTGGAAACCCCATTGACCTCAAATGGTCAACCCATTAATACTAAATGGTATGCAGGTGGTTGTCCACCTGGTGTGAATTGGCTGACCTGTTGAAGCTAACTGGTGGTCAATAGGAAACCCCATTGACCTAAAATGGTCAACCCATTTATACTAAATGGTATACTGGTGGTTGTCCACTTGGTGTGAATAGGCTGACCTGTTGAAGCCAACTGGTGGTGAATAGAAAACCCGTTGACCTGAAATGGTCAACCCATTGAAAATTAATGGTAGGCACGTGGTTGCCCGGCAGGTCTCAGTAGACTAACCCGTTGAAGCTAACTGGTAATCCTGTGGTTCCAGATGTTTGGCCCACTGATCGTAACTGGCATTCCAAACAGCCCCCAATTCATTCTAGTTGGTAAGCAAATTCAATGTGGCTGGTAACCACATGACTTCCCACATTGTTGCAAATGGTCAGCACTTTGATGGTAATTGAGACTCCAATGATTCCATATGTTTCAATAAAAGGTTGAGTTGGGCTAGTTGATACATACTTGGATACATGCAGCGCGAACTTAGACAAAGAACACAGACAAGCGCTCGTCTGCGTTGTGACTCTCTGGTCTTCGACCAAGCTGCACTGCATGTATCCAGATGATTGGCCCAGTGACAAAAGCTGGTGTTTAGCCAGTCACCATTCTACCTGGTAAGCCAATTTAATATGGCTGGCCATTAGTTTCTGGTAAGCACTTGGTTGACGCTAAATTGCTAACTGCATTTCAGCCAGCCAGTGGTTGGTATACAGAGAGAGCCAACTGAAGCTAAGTAGTAGTGTAGTAATTGCAGTCTCTTGGCTGACCTATAAACATGATTATCACATTTCTGCGGATGCAAGTAGAAAATGACAATCCTGTAGAAGGCTGGCTGTCATCACACTGCACTTCATTAATTGCAATTTCACAACACAGTGGAAACAGCACAGGCTGGATTACCTAGTGTGAATGTGACATTAATGCACACTCAAATGCATGCACATACAAGATAAAAACAATGGTAGAGAAAAAAAAAATATGAAAGAATGAAAATTTATTCACACATTCCATAATATTTACACTATTTAGAAAATGCACCAATGGTCCTCCTCTGTTAAACTTCCGCAACGCCCTGGTTGTCCTTCGCCCTGCAAATGTTTTGCAGAATTTATACATTTAGTCAGCCACACAATGGCTTACATTCTTCCAAGTCTAGATGTGATTTAACATAAAAACATTAACATAAAAATAGCTATGCATGTTGAAGGGGTACAACAGCTGTGCCAATTACGCGAATTTGATACAATTCCCCGCTTTTGCGCCGAGCTGCCAAAACCATATTGCGCCACGCTGCGCCAAAATGCCAGACGAGCCTCCAAATTTTCTCAGTCTCTTTCTGTACATGCATGTTGCAAGCAGATGAATATGGCCAAGTTTCTCTTAAAAAAAGGGGGGGGGGGGAGTCCTTTGACACAAAGAACACACTTATCTTACCGCTTGGCAAGCTTCTCAATATCTGAAAGCTTCTCAACAATGAAGTGGTTCATCTGTTTGACTGCCAACGGCAGTACTCCTGCAGGCACGCCTTGATGCTCCAGACGTGCTCTGTAGCAGTCTGAAACAACAAAAATTATCAATAAATAGCCTTGAAGAAACCAGCTGCTTAAAGAACTAATAGCATCGATATTACTTTAAGAACACAAAAGTTCAAAATTGAACTTTTAGTCATATTTCTTGATGCAATGAAGTGTTATATGCTGAATGGCCTAGAATATGCCTTAGCAGCACAGGCTTGAACAATACAGAAAGCATTCTCCAGTTAGCAAAAGTGTTCCGTTCCAGCATTTATTAGAAAAAGGAAACTGCGAACTTAGCGTGCACATGCACAAAAATAATCTAAAAAAGTAACATTTCACAGCTCTCCACTCGCACCATGTAACTGTGTGGATTTATATAGTGCAGGAAGAAAGCAGAGAACACTATTTCTTTTTTTGTCATTTTTATGAAAGAGATATAAGTTATGATGAAAAAAATGCTGGCAGTCTACACACTAGCTCTATTGTTGGCTTTTCTTTTTTTCGACTATCTTTTTGAACTACCAGTGCATTTAAGAGACTTAAGACTTTCACCTGCCTGCACTCCTGACTAAAACAAATGAATTTAATAGTAAGTAAGAGGCAAGGTGTTGGGTCACATTTTTACAACTACATAGTTTATGTAAAATTGTGTTCATAACTGAAGTCAAAGCAGACAGTAAAGTTTGTAGTGGCTTCAAAATAGACTCAATTGCAACCGAGCTTTGCTGTGATTTCATGTACTAAGAATAAGATTGGTTCAATATGCATTCCAAGAGACTGTCTGCACACTTACCACGCATTACGTCCAACTTCCACGGTGTTAGGGGAGCCTTGCGTGGACGGTTAGGGTACCGTGGACAATGTTTTCCTGCATAACAGATATCCACAACAACGAATTCCCCCGTTACCAACTGACACACACTATGCTTTTGTATTATAACCAACCATGCAGGGAGCGCTCCTTAAGGTTGTCTTTCGACCAGATGGTGACTAGCAGGTCCTTGACAAATAAGGAATCCTTATGATGGGACTGCACATGTTCCCATGCACCTTTCTTGACCATAAGCCCTCGTCCAATGTCCACCTGCACGGAACATATGCATTCTGAAGGCATCCATGTGCAGTGCAACCTGTATTGCATATCATAAACAACAAAGGTCTATTCATTTCACCAGCACTTTGTCAGCCAGTTTTGTGGTGCTGCACTCTAGCATTCTTTCTATGAACTGCACATGGTGGTGTCAGCACCACAGTATTCATTGAGAGAAAGTGCAGCCTTTGTGCAAGACCAGTTTACAAAGTGCCTGCACCTTCTCAGTGAGGTTGTGCTGAATCCGCGCAGCACGAGATGGCTAAAACAGCAGCAGACAAGGCCAAGTGTATTCCTTAATATTTCTGTCCAACAAGTACGTTAGTGAAGTTGTTTTAGTAAGTTGTGTTGCTGACAACGAAATTCATTTTTTTTGGTTGTTCATAAGTTCTGCTTAAAATTTACACATATCTATAATGATCACTGAACTCTTTTTGGAATGTCTTGCTCAGCTGTGCAGAGACAAACTTCTATGACAAGTAATCTATAATGCTCAATCTTGCTTTATATTATTTTAACATGCTTTCAAAAGAACAGTTGTTTGTAATTTGGACAGCTGCACATTATTGACATTCCAGATAGAATACCATTGTTTCACTGTCATTCGGTTGCGGATTGGATGAACCTGGGCGAAGGGCTCGCTCTGTCAAGGTGTCTTGTAGATCCTCAGACACGGAGGGGCTCGACTGGCTGCCATCCATGATCCTTTTCATAATTCTGCAGCCTGCATTTATACATGAGGTGCCGTGCTGTTTGCATTGCCCAGAGAGGAAAAAGAGCTGACAAAATATTTTCATTAAATTTCATCAAACAGCTGTAAACAATAGCCATTTGCAGTCTAAACTCGAAATATCTTCACTTAAAGACTGCCGAACGTTTTATGGTAACAAGCTGTACACACTGCTAAATGTCAGAAGAATGGCATTAATGCTTTCACAGCACAAAATCAGTACAATGAAGACATTTTCTGCTTCATACCTTTCATGTCTTCCAGTGCAGAAATAACCTTGTCCTGAAGCTCCATGTTCAGTCTTCTGAGTTGAGCCATCTCCCTGTCTTTTTCTTCATTTTGTTTTCGCAGTTGGCGAATGATGGTAGATTTTTTCTCTACCTGCTCTTCAAGGTTATCAATGGTTTCATGAGCCCCCTGAAGGCGCCCACTGTCCATTGCTTCTTTGTGGTGCTTTTTAGAATGTGGCCCATCTTGATTTTTCGCCTGCCTCTTCATATTTTCTTTCTTGCTTTTTAAAGCTGAAGCAGGCGTGCCTCTGCACCACTTGTTGTTTTGTTTTTCGTTTTTTCTTTGATAGGGCTCTGGGCGAAAATAGAAAATAACTTGTTACACACTGTTTACACAAGTGTTGACAGGACCTTTTGTAGGAGGTTTAGATAATAATTTACCTCCGCTTCATTCTCGTAGTCCGAAGACGCCGGCGAATAAACCCTCTTCGGAATACGCGTTCTCTCTCTGGCCTCTGTCTCCGCGAAGTCCTCCGATTCTGGAAAACGTGAGGGCGGATTGCAACATTAACATTTACTGAGTTAGTGTCACATCATCCTCTGACGCGTGCACATTTCACGATCTCTAGCATGCACTTTTATTAGTTTTATTGCATTGTAAATTAACCATCGAACCTCGTGTGAATGCTTAAGTACCGTTGTAACACAACGTCATATGCCGCTGAGCGAAATATAGGTTATAGACCTTGTCATTAGGTAAAAAGCTGCAGTGCCACAACAAAGGCGCGTCCTACGCCAAAGGGGCTATTACTCCAGGCTGATCTACCCGACGCTGTGGTATCTCTCTGCGGCAAGGTAAATACCACGTAATCTTCCGTAGAGGGTTTCAGGCCCCTAATGCATAAATTAATTAATGGAACCATACTTATTTGCGATTGCCACGCGGTAAATTAACAAAAGAACTATGCTAGTGGAGATTATCGATTAAAAACTTGTAGTTATAACGGTGAACAGTGATTAGCAGTCAGCCAGGCCAAGAGATGCATTTCGCCGGCAACATATAAACAAAAGCAGGCTTAAATCCCATGCCGGAATCCGGGCCCGGTGACGGGGGAAGAAATCTTTAACGTCTTCTATTGGCACCGTTCCAATTTTTTTATCATCTTCGTACCGGACTCGAACGTGGGTAATCATCTTGCAATGCTGAAGAAAACATCTACACACGTGCGCTACAGCTGGTCAAACGCTGGTCGCACACAGCAAGCAACAAGGGTCGACCGCAGCTGCGGATCTGATAGTTTGTCAATGAAAATGTTATTCTTCATTATAAGTAAACAAAAAATCAGAATAATTTTAAAAGTATTTTTTTACTTTTATAATGTTTGTTTAACGCTACGCTGTTTCAATCAATTCACATGCAGACTGCTGGCTTCAAGGTTATCAATGGTTTCATGAGCCCCCTGAAGGCGCCCACTGTCCATTGCTTCTTTGTGGTGCTTTTTAGAATGTGGCCCATCTTGATTTTTCGCCTGCCTCTTCATATTTTCTTTCTTGCTTTTTAAAAGCTGAAGCAGGCGTGCCTCTGCACCACTTGTTGTTTTGTTTTTCGTTTTTTCTTTGATAGGGCTCTGGGCGAAAATAGAAAATAACTTGTTACACACTGTTTACACAAGTGTTGACAGGACCTTTTGTAGGAGGTTTAGATAATAATTTACCTCCGCTTCATTCTCGTAGTCCGAAGACGCCGGCGAATAAACCCTCTTCGGAATACGCGTTCTCTCTCTGGCCTCTGTCTCCGCGAAGTCCTCCGATTCTGGAAAACGTGAGGGCGGATTGCAACATTAACATTTACTGAGTTAGTGTCACATCATCCTCTGACGCGTGCACATTTCACGATCTCTAGCATGCACTTTTATTAGTTTTATTGCATTGTAAATTAACCATCGAACCTCGTGTGAATGCTTAAGTACCGTTGTAACACAACGTCATATGCCGCGAGCGAAATAGTAGCGTATAGACCTTGTCATTAGGTATAAAAGCTGCAGTGCCACAAACAAAGGCGCGTCCTACCGCAAAAGGGCCTTATATACTCCAGGCTGATATACCCGACGCTGTTGGTATCTCTCTGCGGCCAGGTAATACCAGCGTCATCTCCGTAGAGTTTTCAGGTATATGCATAAATTAATAATGACACCATACTTATTTGCGATTGCACGCGGTAAATTAACAAAATGAACTATGCTAGTGGAGATTATCGATAAAATACTTTGTAGTTACTAACGGTGAACAGTGCTTAGCAGTCAGCCAGGCCAAAGAGAATGCATTTCGCCGGCAACATATCAAACAAAAGCAGGCTTACCTCCCAGTGCCAGAATCCGGGCCCTATAGTAATCGCTGTCTCCACTGTCGTCCGTCCATTTGACTAAATAGAGGGATTTGGACTTGAAGTCTTGCTGGTGACGGGGGAAGAAATCTTTAACGTCTTCTATTGGCACCGTTCCAATTTTTTTATCATCTTCGTACCGGACTCGAACGTGGGTAATCATCTTGCAATGCTGAAGAAAACATCTACACACGTGCGCTACAGCTGGTCAAACGCTGGTCGCACACAGCAAGCAACAAGGGTCGACCGCAGCTGCGGATCTGATAGTTTGTCAATGAAAATGTTATTCTTCATTATAAGTAAACAAAAAATCAGAATAATTTTAAAAGTATTTTTTTACTTTTATAATGTTTGTTTAACGCTACGCTGTTTCAATCAATTCACATGCAGACTGCTGGCTGCAGGGTGTCTATGCAATATGGCAGCCGCTGTGGCCGCAGGCAGCCGGTGCACATTGTCCTATCGCTTACATCGCCGTTTCTGTACTTCGTGTCCCGGAGTGAAATAAGCCGTCTTGTTGCTTCAAGACCTCGCGATGGAGCGCGGTCCGAAGAAAAGAAAGAGAGGACCCTACAAGACTTATTTAAATCCCAAGTCTCAGTTCCAGCTACCAAGGAGCACCGCACGCGCTTGCCCGCCGACCGTAAGTTCTGATCATTTTCAACATGGATGGGCACTTTCGATCGGGGTTTTAGCTTGATCCGGGCCCTGCTGGTATCAGATCAGCGGTTGTCCACAACATTAATCTGCATGTTGCTCAACGACTTCGATCGTTGCGCCGTGTTTTACGGTCTTCCTTTTTACCACCCTTTATAGTTCTGCCCGCGAATGATCGAATGTGCTCGGCCGTGTTAAATTGCTATTTTTTATCAGTGCATTTTCTTTTTCATTAATTTAGCGCAGCAATTTAAGTCCAAATCTCATTATTTTCTTCTAGGGTGCCAGCCCTAGCATGCCTTCTTCGAGTGATGAGGCAGACAGCGACACTGAAAGGGCAGATCCACCAAGTCGAACAACATCACTGAAGAGCCGGAATAGTCACATAGCTAGTCCGGGCTCCGAACGTCCGGAAAGTGAAGAAGATTTCCCCGAGTCCGATAATGAGCCGGTAAATTGAGCTGGTAGTAGAATGCTACGAGAACTATTGTTTCTATACGATAAACCGTTTACTATATCGGCGCACTTGTTCTATCACAGGTAACGTCAAGTGGAGGCCGGTTAGGCTCGTCAGCTGGCAGTGCTATGGAAGCTCCTGCTGCAGCCCCTGAAGCACAAGAGCAGAGGAACAGCGCTGATCCGTCACAGAAATTTCCTGCACGCGAGCCTCACGCCCCAGCAGATGAAGTTATTTTACTAAGGCTTATCAGTTAATTAGTAAGCATACACATGCTATTTTATGCTTATGTATTACGATGGGAAATTATAAATTTTGGTTGGTTTTTTTTAGGACTCTCCACTTCAAGACGGCATTGCAAGCCTTTCTGACGCAGATGATTCGTCACTGTTTGATAAGGATGAAGAGGTAACTTTTACACACTAGTTGCACTCTACAAATATGTGCAGCTGGAAGATTCACATCCACTAGAATAGCCTTGAGCAAGTGCATTGGCACTGTGGTTTTCTCTTGCATAATCAGTTCAAGACGAGTTATCACTTGGGACAATAAACTCTGGGAACAACCTGCAACAGGTTTTCAGACCATGTTCTTAACACTGTCTGTTGTCATGTAATTTACGTGCTATGAGTGAACTAGCACAGCTAACTAGAATAGGCAGATTGGGTTACTGTGGCACTAAATGCTTCTTTTTTTTTTTCTTCACAGGAAGCTTTTTCAAGTGACCATGCTTCACAGCAAGGTTTCCCTGGAGATTTTCTCACATTAGATGATGACATGGTGTGTTTGTTTTCACTGGAAATAACTAGATTTATGGTCAGGTTTTAAGGGCACTACTTTCACAGGCTCTTTTATGTACTGGAAAATGTCTGTGTAAATTGGGCACTGTTAAGAGGGACACGTAGCGGTGATTTGGTGAATGATTCATTTCAAGATCACTGGCTCTTTCATTTTAAAGAATATCTCACCAGTTGGTCTGTAAAAAGTTATCAGCCTAGCAGGCATGATATTTTGTACTGATCAATAACAGAGTTGTTTGCTCATATTCATTGGGCTTATCACGGTTCACTATAACTGAATTCTGTGATAGCTTCATTGACGAAAGCTTTTTTTTTTTTTACTTTCAGCAGCCTGCTGCAGATCCAGTGACAGAGCCTGATCCATCTTGCAAGGCACGCTTTGGAGACCTTTTTACACAACTTGTCACTGAGAAAGTGGTTCTTTCGAAGGGAGATATTCTCCTAATGGCACTAAAGCATGCTGTGAAGAATAATTTGACTCTTTTGGGTTTAACTAGCTTAATAGATTTAATTAACAGAATTTTTGATAAACCTATATTACCTCACTCACAGTATCACCTACATAAACTTTTTAGCGAAACTGGCACCACTATGACTTTTTTCTTTTTTTGTCCGAGATGCTTTTCGCATATTGGCAGTCTTGAGACAAATTCTTACTTGAAATGCTCGAAGTGCAGTCACACAACTTTTGTGTCTTCCCTTTCGGATGCCCCCTTTTTTGTCACTCTCGATGTGGAGTCGCAACTTCAAAGGCTACTTAAGGACTGTGATCTTCTTGATTTAACAAAGCCCCTTCCGACGAATGGGACATTTTCAGACATCTGGGATGGTACAATGTATCGTACTTTTGTAGCCGAATCTCAACACTGTGGACCAAGAATCAGTTTCTCGTTGAATGCAGATGGGACCCCGCTTTTCAAATCAAGTGGGACATCAATTTGGCCCATCCAGCTAATTGTTAATGAGCTCCCTCCACAGCAAAGAATGTCCAAATTGGTCCTGGCCGCATTGTGGTTCTGGAAAGAAAAGCCAAACATGGCACTTTTCCAAGGTACTTTTGTTGAGAAAATGAACGAGCTGTGTGAGAATGGCGTTGAATTACAACGTCAAGGAAGGGTTGAAAAATATAAGGTCTATTGTATCTGTTCAAGTGTAGATTCTGTTGCTAGGGCACCGATGCAAGGTGTAACCCAATTTAATGGGTATTTTGGATGTAATTGGTGTCTCCAAAGAGGTGAGAGAGCTGGCGGGGCAACTAAATACCCAGTTGAGGAAGTTGAACCCACAGAAAGAAGTGAGCTCCAAATGCTAAATGACATGGAGATTGCTTTGAAAGGGGGGGTGCCTGTGCAAGGAGTCAAAACAGTGTCACCGTTGATAAACCTGCCCCATTTTAACATAGTGTGGAGCTTTGTGCCAGACTATATGCACTGTGTCTTGCTGGGGGTAGCGCGCCAGTTCCTAGAATTGTGGTTCAATTCTGATAGTGCCTGTTCAATAAGCCGACATCAGCACATAGTGGACCGCAGGCTTATGTCTATTAAGCCACCAATGGATGTGAAGCGATTGCCGAGGCCGACAAAAGAGCGGAAATGGTGGAAGGCCAAGGAACTTGAGAGCTGGCTACTTTGTTACAGTGTCCCTGTTTTGCATGGCATTCTTGAGAAGCCATACATGCAACACTGGGCTTGCCTAGTTGAAGCCTTGCACATAATGTTGCAGCGTGCAATCAGCCCAACTGAGCTCACCATTGCCGAGGGGCTATTGTTGGAGTTTCATGTGCGTGCAGAACTGCTGTTTGGCAAGTCAGTCATGACATTCAACATGCACCAACTGACTCATATAGCAAAGAGTGTGCGCCACTGGGGACCACTTTGGGCACACAGTGCGTTCCCATTTGAAGCTGGGAACGGCAGCCTAAAAAAAGCTGTAAAAGCAGCTAACGGAATTCCCCATCAAGTCTGCCGAGTCCTACAGATGGAAAGCATGGTAGTAGAACTTCAACGGCAGGCTATCAGTCCAAGTGTAGCAGAGTACTGCTCGTCTTTTGATGGCACAAAAACGCAAAAAAGCGTACTTAGTAGTGGTGGCTACCGTTTTTTCGGACACGGTTCCCGACGTGCATCAGCAGGTTTGCAGCCATCTTTACATGACACTACCCTTGAGTTCACCAAATACAGAAGAATGTTGGCGAAGGGATCAATTATCACTGATAGCATGTATGCATCTAACAAGAGGACCAATAGCTCTGTTGTTGAACTTCAAAATGGGCATTTTGTTATTGTTGAAGAAATATACCATGGCAGCGACAACAAAGCATATATATCTGCAAGGAAATTAAGCTGCAGTCCAGTGATGTACAACTTGGTGGCCATGTCACATGTGCTGAAAGTAAATCACAAGGCAGCGAATACATCACTGGTCGAATGCTCTGAAATCAGAAAGGTGGTTGTGTTTGTGGAACTCGAAAGAGCTTCCTATGTATGCTTCCCTCCAAGTTCCTTTACATTGTAATGTATTTGAAGTGAAGAACCTATGCTGTGTAAGTTTTAAAGGAACCCTGTTTAGTGCACACTATGCCTCAAAACATGAGCGTTTTTTTATGTGAGTGGCCCTTGAAATGCCTTGAGGCGATCGACGTGAAATCGCCACCCGTGACTAGTTAGCTCTTCTAGTAGGCAAGATGTTTGTCATGATGACTCATACCATTGAAACAATTCCGTTTGAGTATATATAATGTATATAGTTCATCAAAAAGTATATAGTGAATCCAAATGTAAATTAATAAACATTGAGTATGTTATGTATATATAACATTGCCACGTCTATATATGGTAATAGAAGATTTGTACGGAGGATTCGCGGGTGACCTGATCATCTCCAAGCAAGCTCACCTAACATCATTCACTTTCTGGATATGGTGATGATTTTTTGTTTCACGATTATGTTTCAATGCATGGTGACAACATGGTGTACCTCATAAAAATTGTTCTTTAGAGCAGTCATGCCTGTGTAGCTCATGAACATACCAAGAAAATGTTTTTAAATGTGCAGTGAAAATGGTTATGTGTGGGCCCGCACATGAGAGCCTCCCCGGCTGCATATTTGAGACCACTGATATAGAGGGATTTATCGTGCTGTGCAGATTAAATTGATTGACCACATGGCTGTGACAAATTGTGAAATATCTGTCTGTAAGCCAGCTTGCTCTCTAGGTTTGATTGTTTTTGGAAATATTTTTTTTTCGTTAAAGTCTAGTGTTTTGCATATTGTATTAGGTATCTGAATATTACCGAAAAGAGATCGGTGGGTCTGAATTTCTTTAAATTTATTATGTCTCTTTTTGTGTGTATTAATGTTTTATATTTGCATTGTGTACTGAATGTTTTCCTATATTTATTCAGTGGGTGCTGTATTTTTTTATTCTTACTGCTATTGTATTCTTTATTTTAGTGTGTGTGTCGGGGTACTGCAATATTACATGACGCTTTTTATTCTTTTTCATACAAGTTCAGTCTTGTACACTATGCATAGAATGTGTGCTTGTCATTCATACATAATTCATTGTGCCACTGTGAGCATCCTTAAAGGCCAACTCCAGCGATTTTTCGACCATGTCAAGGTAATGGTGTTTCTGTGTTCCTGAGACACTCTTGTCACGAGCCCAATAGCTGAAATGCTCAGGAAATTCGAAAACAATTTTTAATAAGCAAAAAGGTGCAAAACCGAAACCCGACCGGGCGCCCGGTCTGCATATGATGTACTATTTGTTAAGAACTGGAGGCCGTATACTGGTTCTGCCGGCACGTAGTATGAAAACTGTGAAAGCCAGACCAGCGAAGCACCGGCAAAACACCACAGAGGAAGGAAGAAAGCTCTCCCGTGCTATGGTCGTGCCAAACACCACCGCTGTCGTCTTGGGGCCAGCACAATAAACAATGTAGGGGCCAAAGTAGCGATGCCATCGCCTGCGTCACTTTCGTTGACATGACAAACTTGACATCGCACTGACAGTGTTGCCAATAATTCTGGCAAGCGAGGCGAGTTTTTCGAGGCAATCTTTAAAATTCATTTGCAAATAATCTGCGCATCTCTCAAGCCTGTAATTGGCATAAATGACAGGAATGTGCGTAAGAGTGTACCCAGCGAATTTGATTGAGATTCGTTGACCTCGAAAAACCACCGGAGTTGACCTTTAAGCATCCTTAAATAAGTAAAGACATGCTGTTCACGTGTAAACTGTTAACCTGTATGAAACCTGTTTCTCAGTGCTTTACTGAAATGCCAGTTGTATGGCAATGCCTTTTTCCTCCTTTGGAACTAAAATTCCTTTTATTGTGATTCAATTTACTGTTATAAGTATTTGTAATATTTGAAGTATCTTGTACGCCTTGTGTTGCAGCACTGGCCAAGAAATTTTTTTACACCAAAATATGTTCTGTGCTATTTAAATCCTGTTTGCCTTGAAATAAAATTCTTTTTTTTTCAATGTTATTGTTGCCTTTCATACCTTCTTTCGGATATCTTGTTAGTGAGAACATCTAATTGTTTTCTCTTAGTTGCATAACCTTTTCTATCGTATGAATATTAAAAAAATTCAGTCATATCCTGCAGCAGCATTATATGCAGTGACAGGTAGCCCATAAACACGTGACATCAGGTGCTCACTGGTAGTTAGCCATATTCCCTAGTTTGGGAATAAGACATCGTTGGTACATTGTGATGCTGCAAACAGTAGAAGGTGCGGTTCCAATGTGTACTAGTACTTTAACTGCTGCATTTTCATGATGCATATATGGAAAGCTTAATCAGATGCCCTGATACAGTGGTTGTTTGTAAACCAGGCAAGTGTTGTAAACAAGCTTAATTTAATCCAAGGTTTAAGTAAGTGACCGAGCTCAGGGATTCCAAGCTGAAGCACTAGCTCGAATTCTGTTTGGGTAACACACATAAATGAATTGCTTTATATGGAGGGTTGGATGCATCACCGTAGATTTCCATTTATGACTTTCAATACTGCTCAGGTAGAGAATTGTAAAAAATAAACTTCAAAGTTATGCATGTACTGCAATTGGGGTGTCCTATTGGACTCTCCCATTGCAGCTTGGGTCCCATTGACGTCCATTTGAGTCCCATTGCAACCAACTGGAACCACCTATCATGACAGCAGGTCATCCTGTTAGAACTTCAAATATGCAGAGTTGGTTAAAATGTTAGAAGCCACTACATGGGAAGTCCAATTGGACAGTCCCATTGCAGCATGCACTTCCAATTGGGCACCAGTTAGACACCATTTGAACCCCACTTAGCCCCCTTTGCCACCCATTGCTCCTAACTGGAACATCCAGTTGGACCCATTAACTATTTTTGACTGGGATTCCTGACAGAGTTCACTTGTGTTTGTATATATCCGAGAAGTCTTCCCTTGTGGTGTCTTAAAATCTAAGTTCATGTAGGTTCCGAGATTAACAGCCGAACTTTGGCATAATGTCAAAGCAAGCATTGTCGGAGTCAAATTGCTATGGGTATGACGAGAAAACGACGCCGCCTAAACCGAAATCGGTGCGAAAATCTCGAAGAGAAGTTATGAAAACTAGGAAGGTGCGAGAGGATGGCCAGTTTCCGAGAGCACTTTATCTGTGGAGCGCACTCCGTCACAGCCGTATATATTGTGCAGCTATGTAGTACCCGCCTGGTCTGGACAGGCTGACATCCGCGGGGCCCTTGTGTCGTCTCGTGCGTCGCCTTTGTCACTTTGAGGAAAGCTCTTGAATGGGCGTAACCCCCAGAGTATATATGTCGTCGCCTATAGGACTAGGTTTCACAAATGCTATCTATGCTGGCACACCTTTGAGCTCGAGAAGAGTGTGAGTTTGAGCTACGCATGGGAACCGTAGCTACCAGGGACGAGGTTTGCATAGGTGGAGGAGAGAAAATAGTACGTGAACTTTTTTTTTTTTGCACATATCTCTAGCCTCTGAGCATGGAGTGAGTGGCTGTCATTATATATACACGAGTGTACGCGACAGTACCAGGAAAGTTGCAGACTCCAGTCGCTTGTTTACCGAAGTGCTAAACTTGCAACTTGGCACTGCATATTTACCTTGTAGATACAGTGAGCACACAAAGGGAGGTTTCCCTGTAGTCATAATTATGAAGTATATCACACTTGTGCGTCCCGCCACCGTATTTTGTGGCTGACTGTACATGTATAATACACCTTGCCCTAGCTGCTTGTAATCCACACATCTGCATGCCATCATCCAAGTATGGCAGTCATATTTTCATGAAGATCAAATGGGATCTCACCATTTTCTGAATTAAAGACATGAACTGCGTTCTAGCTATCCGTGTCATTGTATGGTATTAAAAATGTCCGTATACGAAGCGCCACTACAGTTTGGGCACCAGTCTCACACACTTGCTTCATTGCACACTATCATCACACATCGTAGTTGAACATTTAAACATATATGGGCAGCTGGTACAGTTATGTCGACCTATGACTGTAATGTCCATGACTGTAGTCCATGCCCATGACTGTAGCGTCGGTGCTGTCAACTGCATCCGTTTGTTGCACGATTTATATGATGCTGCACAGATTGGCGGTGTGTGCCTAATGCATTCTGCACAATGCAGCCGTCCATGTAAGCAAACATGTTAGAGAGCTGCTTCAAATATCTACTTAAGGGTTTGTATGCGTTGACATTTACACCTGTAAACGAACTCCATTCCCTGAAGTGGTGGATGTTTATAGTTGCTTGAGGCAGTTTTTGTAGTAGTATAGGCGCATGGAACTGGTGAGAATAAAACGATGAATCGAATATAAAAGTGAAATGCCTGGGTAATCACTATGAAGTGATCTACATTGTTTGGAAGTGCTCGAGTGGGGTCAGCATGGCCTTCATGAAGAGGTTTGTTTCATTTAGTTTATCATATGGTACTAGCAATCTGGCCGCATGGCACAAGTACGCCGTGAATCACATCGCTCGCAAAGAACTGCACATAGCTATGTTGGGTGTGCAAACCTTGTGAAGACGTCGTAAAGAAGTGGATGTATCCGGCCACAACATACACGTATATACATAACATACACATATACATATTCTCCTGAAAAAATGACAACATATATATACTGCACTGTTCGAAGGGACCGTGACATTTGTTGGCGGTGAGACCAGACGATGAACTATGAAACTGGCAATCAGCCTGTCCCGTTTCAACGCGGTGGGTTCTGAGTAGGCCTACTTATATAGCTTTGCGTACGCTGGAGAACAAGAGGGTCGTCTGTAACCTCACCACCAGTTGTGAACTTGTTGATGTTAAAACTCGGTTTTTTCAAGCTGTTAGAGCCCTGAACTCCAGTGTGTTGAGGTTTAGGCAAGTGTGCCTTTTCCCACCGGTATCAACAGTCACTCCATATCAGGCATCGTTTTGAGGTTGCAGCTTTGATGGTATGTCGTGGCAATATCGCCACGCAATGCGCTCCTTCCTGGTGTGTGTGTGTCCAGTTCATAACCTGTGATAAGTGACACGCATGGCGCAGAGCGCCCCGCAAGCGCTGACTAGTGACGCGCCATACATAATGACAGTCGGTGAACCTCCGAACAGACGAACCATAGGCCCAGCGCAGAGAGACAGTAGCAACTGTGCCGGGAACATCATGCTGCTCACGAGCGCAATATCTGTGCCCAGGCCACGCTCGGACCAGTCGGCGTCGGCCTCCACCTGCGATGCACATAGGGAAGAAGCATGAATCAAGTTCTGTACGAGAGAACATTCATAAGCACACCTCCGCTTAGAGTCGGAGTGTTGAAGACATTGTGGTTTTGGGTCCGTCAGCCACCGTCTGTTACCGCAGATGTTGCTGCCCCGGTATATTTTTACCAAATGCGACCACAGCAGTCCCATTCGGCTCATCTTGACGAACTGGTGAATCATACTGGCCAAATTATGACTTGTGTTGCCTAGCTTATGAAAATCGTAGGCGGTGCGCTCTTGTGATTTTAACGCGTAAGCATTGAAGGGTTACCTCTCATGGAAAATGTTGCTGCTTACTGCTCGGGTAGTTCTGCAGTGACTAATTATTTTTTACCCTACTGTCGCCAATTATTTTTTTTGTCCCTCCCCTTTTCCTGTTCCCGAGGACAGGGTAGAAAACCCGAGTCTTCTACTGGTTTACCTCCCTGTTTTTTGTTTTTTTTCTCTCTCTCTCTGCCCGTCTTCATTATGCAAAAACAAGTGGACATACTGTGGATATTGTTTATTACTGAACTGGTATAATATCGACGAAGGCAATAAAGGTTCCTAAAAGTGTTTCATTTGTGCACAACATAGGGTCGCCCAACTGCTTACCATGTAGAAACGTTGGTGCAAAAATGAAGCAGCACAAGCAGTGCATTATAGTTCTCACAAGTAAATATGCCGCATAAGATGGAATGTTGCAAACTAAACTTCTTGATGCCTACCATGTTCGAGCTGTGGTAGTGGTCCACCAAGATGAAGGGCATCGTGAACTGGGTGGCGTACAACAGGCCCGCCGCAGGTGACACTAGCAGCACGGCCGCCTTAGTGCGAAACATGGCGAGCAATGCCACGCTCACGGAGTAGGCCGCCTGGCCCATTATGTATATTGGTCTGGCACCTGAAAACGACAACGAACATTCGGCCCATACTAAACTCTTCGTAAACTGCAACTCAACGTAAATGACAAAAGCCACGTTATAGCTAGTATATATCCAGTCAACGTGAGGGATTTGAAGTGGTATCTCCTTGCCACAATTCTAAACAATGCGATTATAGGGATAAATCATTTCGTTTCTATTCTCGGCCAATGTACCAAAGATGCATTGTATGTTGATGTGGGCAATGATACCTTTTTAGAAATACAGCAGCAGAATTTTAGTGGTCAATTTTGGGGGACTTTTTTCAGTGCACTTGCTGATTAATGGCGTAACAAAAAGGCGTTACACTTCCGCTGCTGTACAGGTTCTCTTGTTATGCGGAGCAGTATCACTTGAAGCCGCATTTTTCGTATTTTAAGTGCAAAGCATTTCTTAGCAAACTTCGGCGACTTTGAGCGTATTTCGTGCCGGTTGCCGTCGGGCCGCGCCGACGAACGCTGGTCGCGCCTGGCATCAGACTCTAAAGGGCTGGCGTTTTCCTAACGTAGCGTCGCTGTGCCCAGCGCGCGCGCGCGTCAGCGCTACATAGGAGTATATTGGGCCTTTCATGATGCGCTCGCGGCCGTTTTCTAGCTGCACATATACCAAATTTGGTGTTACGTGAGGTCAATGGATGACGAAATATATTACTGGTGCAAACATGGTAATTCCGACACGCGCGTCATGTAAAAACATGACGACATACCACGCTCATAGCGTGCTCGCGGCCATTTCGCTGGCTCCACATGTACTAAATTTGGTATCACGTGACGAATAGATGACGGAGGTAAACAACACATCCAAACATGATAATCATGACACGGAAGTCATGTACGGCATCCTTTACCTCCTCCTCGTAACGTCGTGCTACTTTTAAGGTGACATATCAATATTTCTCATTCGTGCTTCGCATATCATCGATTCTTACTTTACGTGGGATCTGCCAATTTTTAGTGCCGCCATGAACACGCATACTTGCATACACCCTGAAGCTTGCTTCGGAGAATAAGCTTGTTTTAGGTGATGCGTTTTAGTTCGGTCATCTATCTGCTGAATGTGCGTTGTTTCATTTAGCAAAGATGCTCACTCATAGTCCCTGTAATTGCTCTCTTTTGCTAGGAATGTACTCTACTGAACCACGAACTCTACATTATACATACCGAAGCGGTGCACAAGCTTCTCGATGAACAAGGAGTAGAGTGCGCATGTGACGGAGTCAATAGCCAGGCCGAAGCAGCCCAGTCGCACTCCGCTCTGGTAGATGCGATAAGATTCCGTGCCCATGGGTGCTACGGGATCTCCCCCGTACACCACTGCGCCCACAAAGTCCGTAAGGAACAGCGAGTAGCTGACTAGTGCCATCCAACAGAAAAGGTTCGTCAGGCACAGAACCATCATGGTCCTGCGAGATAACATATACAGACGTTTGTTCAGACAGGCTAGAAAGCAAGCTTCGTTCTTGCCCTTGCCCAATTCCTTCTATCTTTTTCATATGTTGCTGAAACATTGATGTTTCAGCAACATATCGTATTTACAACAATACGTATTTACAACATCGTATTTACAACATCTCGTATTTTACAACAATAACGCCTCAGCAACAATAATATTCAGCAATGATAATATATCGCATTTTACGTCTCAAAACCACGGTAACGTTATGAGGGGCCCAGTAGTGGAAGGCTCCGATAATTTAGACTATATGATGTTCTTGCAAGAACAACAGAACTATTACGAAAGGATAGGAAACGCAGTCTAGGTAAGCAGAGATCTATGTGGAGGAAAGAAATTAAAAAGTTCGCATGGATAATATCAAACCAGTTTGCACAGGATAGAGTAGACTGGAGGTCATTGGGAGAGGCCTTTGTCTGACAGCGGACATTAAGACGCTAAGAATGATGACTGAATACAGTTATAAAGAATAGTATAGCTCCGATTGACAGGGGATGTTATGAACTAAACACCAAGCCACATTATAGCTCACATGTTATGTACAAGCACGACCTAAAAACAATGTCTGCTAGATTGAATCTTCTACTATAGACGGTTCTTCTTGCCGCCAAAAGATAGCGCCATAAGCTGACGGGCCTTAGGGAACCTTCATATGCGTGCTGGTTCAGGCGCACACACAAAAAATCCCTAACGTACCTCATCTGGCTGCCATATTCGTGGGCGCTTCCAGCAAAGACCACGCGCTCGCATGTTCCCTTTCATAAAGCGACGCCCTGCCCACCAGAATCACGTGCCCGCGGGAAATTATCACCGACGAGGTGGTCACTGAAAAGTTCTTAAAGTTTTGTGATGTGTATACAGATATCCTCAAGAGATCTTCAGAACAGCTTTAGCGCGTCTGAACTGCTTTGTGCACCAATGACATCACTCATGCTTATAAATTTAGCATAAAGGTAGTCGATTTGAAGGAACAGGTTGAACACTACTTATACCAACACTTTGATTTGCTCCAGTTTTTTTTTTGACGACTTGATAGCAAATTTTCGAAACTGCGCTCGCAAAAACGGCTTTATATAGCACTACGAAGAAGCAGTGAAGTCATGTAAAGGTTCATTCAAATGCATTGCAAATCTCGGATCCGTACTCGTCGCAGGGATTTCAGTGTTCTAAGTGTATTAGCTCAGTAGTGATCCGCTAGTGCTTCGCCTCTGCAAAGACCATTGCATATGACGAAGGTGTTAACAACCAAAGTCGATAATAGTATAGATAGTTGGCCCTAACTTCAATAAAGCCGGCTTGTAGATACATGCACGCAAGACGGTACGCCGGGCTCGTGGCGTCTCATAGATGTTGTCCGTACATCGCACGCTGGTATGGCGCCGGTACGTCGTTATTTAGGCACGCAGGTCAGCAAGGTTCCGGCTGCACTTTCACCACAATGAAGCATGATAAGCAAAGAAGTGCATATGCTGCGTTTATGTTATCTTAGTCACCGTGTTGTAGCACCGCCTCGCTAACAAGCTGCGTTCATCAGTCGCAGGCATGCTATCAAGTGTAAAAACAATAAGTGGAGCCGGGTACCTAGGCATGTGGATTATGGAGAGGAGGTATTCCTTCAGCGTTGGAGGTGCTTCGTCATCCTTGTCCTTGCCGCGGGATTTGGAAGGACTGCTCGACTTTTGCCTGGCAAGCTCCATACTCTCAGTCTCCTCGCACCCGCTGACGTCGTCGTTGGTGAACCGCTCGTACTCGCCGTGGCTCCCGCCTTGGTCGAAGTAGCCGGCGGCAGTGGCCGCCCTGACGACGGGCAGGGGCATCTCGCGGAAGCTCGACAGAGTCAACACGATGCAGCCGACGAAGAATGCGCTGACGATGCCGAAAACAGTTTTGACGTGACCGCCGAGACTGGCTCCGACCGTCGTGCTTTCCCAGTCGATGCCGCCCATGACGTAGCCGATGGCGCCAGACAGGCCCGAGAGAACGGTGAACATCGAGAGCGCGCGTGCGTGGTCAGACACGATCGTGACGTCGAGGACGTAGCTCCTGGCCGGCGACTGGCAGCCATCGCAGCACATGTCCAGGAACACGAAGCCCACGATTGTGAACATGATGCCCCAGCGATGGTTCGACCAGCTGTGGTATGCCAGATTTTCGGCAGTGGAGTTGAGAGCGTTTGTTGAGCCGCTGAAAAATGGTTAAAAACAACAATGCAATTACTCAGTGACGGTCGTTGTTGTGTTCTGCAGCACAATCAGCATTTAACAATGATAAAAAATTGCCCGCAGCTTCCCTCGGGGGAACACTGAGGAGGATGCGGAGCATATAATTGGTTAACAGGGTGTTAAAGTGCGACTTACTTGGGTCGATGGCTGAATTGGTTAACGTGGTTGTGAAATGGGGTGTTAAATTGCGACTTACTTGGGTCGATGGCTAAATTGGTTAACGTGGTTGTAGGAGGGGGTGTTAAATGAGTGAACACGTACACACGTATGCGAAAGGGCGGCGCTGGTCGAAGGGACGTCGATCATTGTGTTTGTGGATTCGTTGGAATTCATTTCACCGCGACCTTGGACGTCGACGCGCCGTACAAACCAACCGACGAGCGGCAACTGAGCGAGCGAGCGCCGACCTTGAGTATATATACAGCTCGACGGCGCATGCACTGTCAGCTGTTGAATGTTCTCGAAGCGCGACGCCACATGCGCGTCCACTGGAGAATCAGGAGAATTGTAGATGTCGAACGCGGTGTGTAGAGGAGGAAGGGTGCACAGATGGTGGAGGAGTGAAGCGCGCGCGGTGTGTAGAGGAGGAAGGGATGCACAGATGGTGAAAGAGTGGGCGACGGCGCATGCGCGCGCGTCAGCTGTCGAATGTTCGAGAAGCGGTGCGGACGGCGCGGACGGCGCACTACAAGGCGCGAGTATAAGATGCTTCCGCATCTAAAAAATTGGCAAGTCCCACGTACAGAGGGAATTGATGATATGCGAAGCACGAATGAGAAATGTTGATATGTCACTTTAAAATTAGCACAAAGTTACGAGGTGTAAGTACAAAACGCCGTACATGACTTACATGACTTCCGTGTCATGATTATCATGCTTGGATGTGTTGTTTACTTTCGCCATCGATTCACGTCACGGGATACTAAATCTAGTATATGTGGAGCTAGCGAAACGGTCATGAGCACCCTATGAGCGTGGTATGTTGTCATGCTGTGTCACATGACACGCGGGTCAGGATTATCATGTTTGCACCAGTCATATATTTCGTCATCGAATTACGTCATGTAACATCAAATTTGGTGTATGTGGACCTAGCAGAACGGTCGCGAGTGCATTATGAAGGGGCTCGAGAGATAAGGAGATGAGAAAAAAGGAAGGCAGTATCTCTCGAGCAGTATAATAAACAGCATCTCTCGAGCAGTATAATAGACAGCACTGTCTCATAGAAGTACATACAAACTGAAGTTGAGTGAGGATATTCTAGAAGGCGCTGTACCACTACTTCCCGATTGGCTGCTGCGCGGGTTGTGCCTGGATGCGCGAGGAAGGAGTGCCTCCCTCAGTACCCTGGATAGTCGCCGTATGTGGCGGATTGTTGGTGGTGCATAGACGAAGCAGAGCGGCGGGCGCGTTGAAGACGCTTGCGCTCGGGCTTCCTTGGCTCGCGTCTCGTCGGTGTTACCCGCGCGCCGTCAGCGTTCTCGAACGCGATCGAACACGCAGGACAAGGTTAGACAAGGGCGCGTTCACACTGAGCATCCCGGCTGCCGAAAGTGCACCGTATCTGATATGGTGGTGACGAGATCTGCCGAAAAGGTCCTTTCGGCGCCGATTGCTCTCGGACAAATTTTTGCGGCGTCTGCAGCCGAATCGGTCGCCGCGAACCAATAAAAGCGCTAGTCAAAAATTTTTGGAAAATGGTGGCCAAGCCCTACTCACTCGTCACGTCGCAAGTGCACGTAGCTGAATGTTGTAACCAGCGGGAGTTTAACCAACTCTGTGCCTGCTTCACGTACCTATTTTGTAGAAGAGGTGACTGAGCTTGTCGTTGGCGTTATTAAGCCTTTCCCGTCCTTGCAAAGCAAGACCAGCCCACTAATGTCGCTGACGTCGGTGATTTTTTTTTCTGCTCTTCATGCATTACAAGACAGCGACTTGCTAGAAAAGTAAGCAGTACTGCTTCTTATCGGTTCCTGCGTACGAGAATAATCGAAGACTAGACCACCGGATAGCCTAGTGGCGTTTGCGAGCCGCGACAACTTGGTGACAGCGCATGCATCCTGTGTTCGCTCCGTGGTAGATGGCATATTCGGCGGCGTGGGGCGCGTTCGAACGACGCTGCGTTTCGGTGGCAGGAGAATTTCGGTCGGATGCTTCAGTGTGAACTAGGGGTAAGAGGAGCTTCGCCCCCCAATAACCTAAAATGCTGGATGCATCAGCTCAGCAGACAAAAATGTGACTACGAGACGGCGAACAAGCGTATCCATGATGTGGCGTGCGTGTGAAAAGAGTGTTTCGCAGAGCACATGCTGCGCCTGCGCATGTCCAATGTTTCTAACGATAGCTGCTACGCGGCCGTTGATTGTGTCGTCGATCACGCGCTCGCGTGTTCACCCTCAGAGTGCTCACCGCTGTACTACAATGAGCGTTAACAAGGGAGAGGCCTCGTTCGGCTGATACAATGCTTGAAAAGGGGCCTGAAACGTAACCACTACGTGCCAATGTTAATTTCCCAGAAGTTCGCAGTTAGGGTTTAGACACGTGTCAGAATTTGAGTTGTACATGTTAATGCGTTTCTCTGTTATTTAAAATACGAAGCGTTTGGTATAATGCTTCTCAATATCGTAGTGTGGTACTCACCCCTCTGGAATCACATCGTCAGGCATGTTCACGGCGCTGTCGCCGAGCGCTATGCCCAAGTCCTGGCCATTGGGCAGCAGGATCAGGCCCAGCAGCATGCCCAACGCGAAGATGACGATGAAAGGCCGCCGGCGGCCCATGCGAGACGTGCAGGTGTCGCTCATGGATCCCAGCACTGGCGTGACGAAGAAGCCCAGAGCAGGACTCAGGCACATGGCGAGCGCCACGAACGAGATGGGTATGCCAAGGCCCAACAGAATGGGGCCGATGAAGGCCGTCTCCGCGGCGTAGCACAACTCTATGCCGCACACGGCTCCGCTGAGCATCACAAGCTCCCATGTCTTCTTCTTGCGGAAGATGTGAGCGTACTTGCGCGGGACGTCACTTACGTCCAACGGACACTGTATGTCGCCGGAACCCATGGTTGTTGGCTTCGTGCGGTGAACGCTGGTCTTGTCGGGGTCTTCAGGACGACGTCATCGAGCTAAGCGGCCTGAAAGAGTGACACCAGCTAACGTAAGCAGTCTGAATTTACGCTGTACAACAATTCAAGTGTACACTAACCGATGCGTCCGGTGCTAACAAACCACGATGCAAGGTGCTGCGATTACTTGTGGCATGGGTGTACGCGTCATTCGCGTCTTATACCAGTGATATAGAAAACTGGAGAAAAACTTATGCGTACACGCGCTCGGTATTTTAGCATATATTATATAACGGCAATCGGTGCGCCTGCGCAGGTCTCGAAACGTGGAGTCATGTTCAGTATATCTCACGCTATCACAGCTTTCGATTCTTCCTCGTATACATTCAGCAAAAAGTGTTTGAACCCCCACTGTCGGTTAACTATACGTGGCAACCTCTAATCTTTGACGCGTGGTATTCTGAACTGCTTCGTGGGGATAGCTTCATGACTGATATGGTAATCACGCATAGCTGGCTGAAGTGTGGCTCAGCTGCGCAGTTAAAAACAGAAACTGCGGTATATGTCAGGTAGGCTGTTTTTAACAAAGTCGGATTCGTTAAGCAACACGAAAAACAGTTTTATTTGTTGACGTTCTTCGTGAGTATGTTTCGAAATCACTCGCTCGGCATAGCAAAGTATGTCCACTTGAAGTGGTTATACTTGACGGCGTATAGGTAGAATAACTTGACATCATCGCTCCCCTTGAAATGTTATAAGCCGAAACTGCCATAATATCATAAAATAAATAGTTTAAGTCTTGACTCAATTCACAACTGGACCACGTGTGGTCCTTTGCAACTGTGAGAACCTTATAATGTATGCTCTATTATTATATATAATGTGTTTCATAAATAATCGCACCGGATATTCACGTTACGTCGCCTTGCTGCCGATTGAAATCGGTGTTATTTTAACCCAGAGAGAAATTTTTTTTCCAGTATTCTTGTTAAAAGAATCCCTTTCTTTTGCCGAACTTGCAAATAGTAGTGAAATAGTGGCAATAAGAGTACAATTTCAAAGAAGTATTGCTGCGAAGGAAAAATGGCTCGAAAATAAGCTTTGAACGAATAAATCAACGATACGAAAATACTTCGCGAGTTTTAATGCGTTGTTCGACCGAGCAGGGTTTGCGCGCATTCTTCACAACAAAGTGGCGATTGCACTTGATGCGTCGTGAATTGTGTACAAACTGTACACAGGGTATCATAAGGGATACCAGAAAAAAAAGTGTGTGAATACCTCCGTGTATCTCTTAGGACTAGATTGCCTACCACAATCGCGCGAACTCCAGAGATTGTCGATGCTGTGAACTATATCTTACCGAGAATGCTATAAGTAGTCCTTCCAACATTCGCACCTGCCTTCCTTCTCTTTAGTAGCATATGAGCACAATAGGCAGCTTTACCACCGTATTCTGGAACGCCCCCTTCACGCAACGCTACACCTCGACTTGAAAAGGTCGATGGGAGCGCCGTCTCATGGCAGACCAAGTTACTGCATACCTGCATAATCTGCAGCGATTCTTGAGAGTCGCAGTGTCAATTTCAGTCGAGCAGCGGCGCAGTGCTCAACTTAGTCAAGTGAAGGACGAAATTTGAGTCGAGGAGCGTTTGTGAATACGGGGGTTAGAGTAGCTTACGCAAAGAATTACTTTGGCGTTTGGTGCCACTGTGCATGCGTGATGGGCTAAACTTTTACGAGCTCCCAACGAACGCTAACTTAGCATACGGTATTCTAAAGCTCCGTAATCTATCGCACTCGTTTCATAAATTTTCGAGATGGCAACAATACAAAATAATTTTTTTTGTTTGAATTGGGCTCTGTGGAATGCACATGTGGCATGGGGTATATGATTTCGAAAACATGGTAAATAACAAAAAAAACTAAATTTTCTGGCTTCGCAAAGCATCTGCGCAAAATTCATAACAGCAGGAAAGGTGAATCGTATACACCTTATCGCTCTGATGAGCTGTGGTTGCCGAGTAAATTCGAACGAGCGAAAGTGTGCCCTGTGGGGACGTGGGTTGATTCCCGGCCACATGGCGGCCGCACATTTTACCATTAGGGTGAAATAAAATATACTGCGGATTTGTTTCCAAGAATAACAAGGGTTCTGAGGGATACCATTGGCTAATAGCTGTTGGATAACAACTTGGCTGGGCCGATTGTCCATTATAAGGCCGTTGTAAGAAAAATACCAAAACTACGCACAACAACTGACATACATGTATATGATGTGTGCTGTAGTGAGGGTCTCTGGATTCGCTTACTGCATACGGAATAGCTTAACATGCAGCGAAATGATATGATATGTGGAGTTTAACGTCCCAAAACCACCATATGATTATGAGAGACGCCGTAGTGGAGGGCTCCGGAAATTTCGACCACCTGGGGTTCTTTAACGTGCACCCAAATCTGAGTACACGGGCCTACAACATTTCCGCCTCCATCGGAAATGCAGCCGCCGCAGCCGGGATTCGAAGCAGCGAAATGTAGGCACAGGAGTTAGTCTTATGCAGGTCTCCGTTCTAGTGCGGTCGCATTGACAGGCAATCGAATCGGCGTCATTATGCTTCGCAACCGAATTGCATAGCGACCAACTCAATGTGGCCGTGCTCGCAGATTCAAAAGTGTCAAATTATGGCTGAAAGGTGCACGTGCTTTCGTTTCAAAACTGTGGAGATCGTGTCGCATTGGCGTAATTTGTACTCTGGCACTTACAGGCATGGGCGTGAGCACAGGTAGGAGGTTGGCGGGGGGAGGGGGCACGCCTCTATTTATATAAGAGGGGAGAGGGTGCTGCGATGAACCTTTGCCCTTCTCCTCCCCCTGAATGATAAACCTGCGTGCACGTATGCTTAGATGAGAGCCAGAGTTACATTTAGCGGAGACAAGCAGCGACATGACGCGGTTATCTGGAGCTGCAGGTTGATCTTTTTTTCTTTATTCATGAGATACCCCCTAGCGCCCTAAGGTATTATGGAGAAGGGGGAGGGGAGGGAGGTTTACATCAATACATGACGTACATCGTCGTTCACACACTACCACAACACCAATTATCTACCATTCGTTGTATACATTCATGGTTGCCACATCGCGTTTTAGTACTTCACAGACAAGTGTTCTCCTTTATGGAGGCGGAAATGTTGTAGGCCCGTGTGCTCAGATTTGGGCGCACGTTAAAGAACCCCAGGTGGTCGAAATTTCCAGAGCCCTCCACTACGGCGTCTCTCATAACCATATGGTGGTTTTGGGACGTTAAACCCCACATATAAATATAAGTGTTCTCCTTTTTTGTATTTGACTTGTGAAATGCACCTGCAACGGGCTTTGGGCGCTTATCTTTTGCGCAGTTGGGCGAGCTTCACATTTAACAGCTTAAAGGCTAAGTGGCGCCTGTTAACTTTAATGTATACAGCAAGAAACACGAAAACGGAAAAGGAGCACGCGTATACACGCACAGCGCTGCGTACGCGGGCCCATTTATTTTTGTGACTGTGTTTTTTGTGCTGCATTTAACGATGGTATTGTACCAACCGGCCCAGCAAGACTTATAAAAAAAAGACAATAAAATGGGCTCTCGCAAACGAACTATTTATTGCAGGCAGTGAAATCGCGTATAACTGGCACGATTGACCGAAACCGGCTTTATCTGCTTTTTAAAAGGGTACAAACTTTAGATGGCTGGAGCGATTTCATAACATGAAAATAGTAATAATTTCAAGATGCGGGTTTTACACCTCAAAACGGCGGTACGATTATGAGAGACGACGTATATAATAAAGGGCTTCGGTATTTTGACGATTGGGTGTCCTTAAACGTGCGTTCACATCGCTCAGTACACGGGCATTTCGCCTTAACCAAACGCGACACGCTCAGCCGGGATCGAACACGTGCCCTTCGGATCAGCAACCGAGCACCGTAGCCATGGTTACACCACCACGAAAGACTCATAAGAGGAAAAGGCGCGGGTGGACGGAACAAGAAAGAAAGACAGGACTTAAGTGGCGCGGGCCCGACTTCAGCGCCAAGTCCTGTCAATCTTTCTTGTCCCGTTTGCCCAAGATCGTTCCTATTATATAACAAATGTATTGTAAACTGTGTTTTGTGTTGTAAACTGTCCCACCCTGTAACATCCCGATAGGGCTAACAGTATTGAAAATAAATAAATGAATGCCGTGGACTTGTAGACAATGTCCATTCATTAAGAGTAATTTTGTTTCTGAATTTAAAAACAATGTTGCGTTTAAAGTGCGCGCTACAAAACTCAATTATCTCGCAATGGCAGACGGGTTGATCCCGCATTTATTGGGCAGTATTATGCGGTTTAAAGAGGCGCGCCGCTGTGACTTCAGCGCCGTGAGTCTCGCGCAGGTAAGAGTCACGGGAATGGAACACATTTACTCCGTGTATATTTTGTTTTTCTCGCATTGGAAACGAGCCATGCAACTTCACCGTTACTGCTGTCGTAAATAGTTTGACCTGCTGTTGGTACGAAAAGTATATCGCCAATATATACGACAGCAGCTGTGCAACGATCCGAGCAATTTCGTAAGCGTTGCAGAGCTTTCTTTTTCATTTTAAAGGGACACTATAGGGACACCTTTTAGTCGAAGTTGACTGTTGAAATGGCGGTCCAGAAACGTTGTAGAGTTACTTTTGTGCCAAGGACCTATTTTGAAATAAAATCACGTTTTAGTGCTCCGCATCGGGTTAGCGCACTTCAAATTACCCGCCTCAAGAAGCGAACCGACCGGACCCACTCACGTCACTGTTGCCATGCACAACGATGCCCGGCTTTACTGCGCTAGTAGCAGCACACCGAAAGCAGCGGGAGCCACAAAAGCAACAACGGGCATTGATTTATTTCCCGCCAGTGGCTTCGACATTGCAGACGCTTTCGTTTCAACTGCGCCCGGCAGGATCGAACCACCTGTGCCGTGTAACCACGCGGAAATTGAATTTTTGAACCCCTTGCGCCATTCCCCTTAGTAATGTCTGGCGGTTCTTTTTTTCTACGAATCAAA